ATGGCTAGTTCTCGTGAACATTTCTTCATGTTTGTTGGCTGCCCGGATCTCCTCCTTGGTGAGGTGTCTGTTCATGTCCTGTGCCCATTTTTTTAATTGGGTTATATGTCTTTTTCTTGTAGAGGTGTTGTAGTTTCCTATATATTTTAGAAATGTGTCCCTTGTCTGTTGTGTCATTGCAAAAGATTTTTTCCCATCCTGCGGGTTCCCTTTTACTCTGTTGGTGAAGTCTTTTTTTGATGCACGTAAGTTTTTAATTTTTAGTATGTCCCACTCATTTATTTTGTCTACTTTTGTTTGTGTAGTTTTCAAAATGTTTGGTAGTCTGTGTATTTCCTGAATTAGAGCCCTCACATTTGTCTCTATGTTTTCATTGATGGCCTTCATAATTCTGGGACTTACATTTAGGTCTTTAATCCATGCTGAGTTGGTTTTTGTATAAGGCATGAGATAAAGGTCTTGTTTCAGTCTTTTGCATATCGCTTTCCAGTTCTGCCAGCACCATCTGTTGAAGAAACTATCACCTCCCCATATGATATATTTAGGCACTTTGTCAAAAATCAGTTGGCTGTATGAGGATGGGTTAATTTCTGGATAAATCAATTCTGTTCCATTGATCAATGATATGTAATACTTTTATAGCCATCTTCACATAGGTTTTTTGTATTCCTCATTTGCTTTTTATTTGAATTGTTTTCAAATCCCTCCGAGGCTTGAGTCTTGGTATAGAATGAGTGTGTTTTATAATATTCACAACTGATTGGCTGATAGTATTAGTTTCACCTCGTGAGTGATTATTACATCATTATAATACTGCCGAATTACATCATTACATAATTATTAAACTACTGAGAATCATGACCTAGCCAAGTTGAGACATATTTGGGAGGAACATAATTCAACCCTTGATACTTATATTTATGTCCTTGTGTTTCCATATTGATTATGGATTTTCAGATAACTTATTTCTTTACTATTAAAAAGTTAGGGAGTGTGGTAGTTCTGTAGGATAATCACTGGACTCTGGATCACAGGATCAATGGTTTGAGCCCAACAGCCACTCTATGGGAAAAAGATGAAGATTTCTGCTCCCACAAATATTTGGAAACCCTGTATGTTTCCAAATGAGTTGGAACCCACTTAACAGTCCTTAACAACAACAACATTAAAAAGTCACTCTTCCTGTTACTTGATGTGAGAAACATCCATTGCTATTATTATAGATTTGAATAAATTTTTACTGTCCAATAAACTGTGGCACCTAGAAGGTTTATGATTTCACATTCTGACACTGTTCTGTTTTTTTCCTTAATTTGGGGAAGTCTGATTTCTTCTATGACTATCCCACAGTACAGCATTGAAGATTTTTCTTTCCTCATCTCTGTTCTATATTCAGTATTACTGATCAATTCCTCTTTCCTCAGGCTGTTTTGTTGTTCATTGCTGTTGTAGTTTTGATGATCTTCTCTTGATTATTCTTCAATGTGTGTTTCCTCTTTCTACCCCTTAGTTGGTGATATGCTATGTGACATCTTTGTATGTCTTTTGCAATAAGGTTCACATTCTTGCTACAAAATTATCATATGTATTTATGGTTTGAATTAACACCCAGTGGATCCCAAATCTGTATGTTCAACTCAGACTTCTCTGTGTTCCAGATTCAGATATCTAGATGCTTGACAGAGATTTCTAGGTACTTCATTTTCAGCAAATATAAAATCAGATTCTTTATATTCCTCCCTCCACCTGTTTCTCCTGTATTCCTTTTTTCAATCAATGGTTCTTGGTAACTCAAACCAAATTCTTAAGTATTATTTTTGTTTCCTTCTGTTTCTTTGGCTTTTCTCAAAACACTCCTTCTTTTGTTTCCCTTTCAGTCCTATTTAGGGCTAATGATTGTGATACCCTCCTGCCTGGTCTTCCTGCCTCCTTTTGACCTTTGTAATAAAACGTGTTCCATTCTAAAACTGATGGCAATCTTTAGAAAATGCTGTCTGGTTTTGTTTTCCTCTTTGGGGCCTTCCTTCAATATGATTCAGACCTAAGGAATCAAATTGGCCCACTGAATGCTGTTTCATAATAACCTAGAGAGAATTTGTGAGGATAAAGTTTTCAAATTGGCATTATTAAAGTTTAGCCAGATTATTCTAGTGTTGCCCAGATTTGCATTTTACACAAGGGTTGTTTTTTTTTGTTTTTTGTTTTTTTCTGTTCCTTTTCTCATCCAGTATCTTTTCCTGCCATTCTTTTCATAATTTGTTCTGCAGCCATACCATTTCTAACTCACTGCACCCTCTCATTTTTCTGTGCACTTTGGATAAGTTGAACTCTGTCTTGAATTCTCTTCTCACCCTTAACCACATTGTTGTTGTTGTTATGTGCCATAGAGTCAGTTCTGACCCCTAGTGACCCTGTATAGGGTTTCCAAGGAGCAGCTGGTGAGCTTGAACCACCGACCTTGTAGTTCAAACGGCTTTTCAGTCTGATGCATTAGCCCACAGTGCCACACCAGGACTCCTTAAACCACATTAGGTATGTCATTTATCATTGGAGTCCTGGTGTGGCACTGTGGGTTAATGTGCTGGACCACAAGGTTGGTTTGAACCTCAAGGTCGGCAGTTCAAGCTTACCAGCTGCTCCTCGGAAACCCTATACAGGGTGGCTATGAGTTGGAACTGACTTAACGGCACTTAACAACAACAAATACACTTTTGTACAGTTCTTCTTCAGGCAGCCATCATTACTTTTGTCTCACTCTGGTGTGGTACTGTAGAATTAGCACTGATCTTTGATCCACAAGGTTGGTAGTTGAAACCCACCAGCTGCTCCTCAGAAGCCCTATAGTGGGTCGCTATGAGGTGAAACTGACTTGACAGCATAAAGTACCAGACCATAAGGTCTGTGTGAACCGCAAGGTCAGTGGTTCAAACTCATCATTTGCTCCTAGGAAACCCTATACAGGGTCGCTATGAGTCAGAACAGACTCAACAGCACTTAACAACAAACAACAACATGCACTATGTTGAAGCATGTATCTCACTGTATTTTTTTTTTTTTTTACACTATTTCCTCGTCACTAGACTGAAAGAGCCTTTGAGTGCAGGGACCTTGTTATCAGTGCTAGTGTACTGCCTGACACATAGTCTTCATAAGCATATATTGATATGAGTTTCAGGTGAATCGATATGCCTATGTATATTCATATGAAAAATGTTTCTCTTAAAACTACATTAGAAATCACCATTAGAAATTTCAGACAATCCAAATAATAATCAGAAAAGCTACTAGTACTTTAACCTGGGCCTTATTCTGCTAATTATACCATTTCTCTAACCTGTACAAGGAAAAAATAGTAATAAAACATAAATCATTCAGTATTTGAAAAATTAATGCACATTTAATTTCTAGGCTGGTGAATCAAAGACTTCTGGAAGTACAGTCACAAGTTGAAGAATTGCAAAAATCTTTACAGGATCAAGGCTCAAAAGCAGAAGATGTAAGTTTTAACATGCACCTAACCATTTCCCGGCAATGTTACAATGCTGAAAAATGCTCTAACTTTTATTCTTCATTTGCTCGTCTCTATCAAAATAATTTATAATTATATTGCTTACGGAAAACACAGTGTTTTCCTCTTAATAACATTCTTATCAAAAGTCCCAAACAATACTTTATTCTTTTCCAGATTCACTCTGCTAGAAATTAGAGTCTCATTTCTAGCTATTAGCTAAGGAATTAATTGTGGTTTTTTTCTGTGTTAAATATACTCAACTTTTTGTTTTAAATATGAGTATCCAAAGATGAAGTCTTAAGGATTTCCTCATAGTAATTCCCTCCCAAGAAAATACCAGTAGAAACAACATTTTTTTTTAAACTTTTTTTTATTAATCGAGTAAAGGTTTACAGAACAGATAATCAGTTGTACATTCACCAAATCATGCACTTTGTTTCACTTCAATAGATTACAATCCCCTCCTTGTAACATCAGTTATCCTACTTCCTCCTTGTGATTCTTGTTTCAATTCTACCCTCCATCCCAACCTTTTGAACTTTCTGATCTTGAATAGCTGACCATTCCAGGGATCATAATAGAAACATTTTTAAGTATAAGTTTTTCATGTAAAATTGATACTTTAAAAAAAATGTAATCTTGAATTCTACTCTCTCTAAATTTTTGGTTCCCTCTATTATCCCTCACTTAAATATAAGTTCCCTGACCTTTGTTTAGATTTCCTTAACACTCTGTTTATTTTGGTCATAACCCTGCCCATTTGGTTGGCACATACACTAGAATATAGTAAATTCCTTAACTTTAGGCGTTGTCTTCCTTCATTTCTGCATGCACACCACCTAGAACACAGTAAGCCCAAAAAGCAGTTGTGTTGAGTTGATTCTAGCTCATAGTGACCCTAGACAAGAGTAGAACTGCCCCATATGGTTTCCAAATCCAGTCTCTTTAGAGATGCAATTGACCACATCTTTTTCCCACAGAGCAGTTGGTGGATTTTCACCTTTCGTCTTTTGAATAGTAATCCAGTGCTTAACCACTGTACCATCAGGATGTCTCAGCACATAGTAGCCAATTAAATTTTAATGAAAGTGTAAACCACTCATATTTTTGCAAATGTAATTTTTTTTACATTTAATAAGCAATATACTATAGAGCTGAGACTTATAAAATGTTCAAAAATAGTATAAAGAAGAAGAAGAAAAAAAAAACCTTACATTTTCATGTCCCATCTCTGTTTAAGCCAGCTGATTTGTTTTTCCTATTGTCAGCTAGTGTAATCTGCTGTAACCTCTAACCTTAAAAGTATAAATCATGTGGAGAATCTGCTTCAGATTATATATATAAATAGATCAGTTCAGTCAGCTTTATTAGTAGAAAAACACAAACCAACTGCCCATGAGTGGATTCCAGTTACAGTGACCCTATAGGACAGAAGAAAATAGCTCCTGAAGGTTTCTGAAGCTCTGAATCTTTACCGGAGCACACAGCCCCATCTTTGCCCCACTTATTAGCATAACAGGGTATAAAAACAAAAGGAATCAAAGAAGGGAAGTTAAATAAGTATATCACTTTGTGCTTCAGAAAGTGTGTGGAAAATGGAATTTTTTACATGAACTTTTAAAAAACCTCTCACATTACATAAAACTTAAGCATATGCTTATCCGTGAACTGATTTTGTCAGTTTCTTAAACATGCATCTAGTTTACACTGGCAGCATGTTCTTCTTTCTAAGTTAAGTGATGTTAGTTTATCCCTTAATTAATGTGTTAATTAATTAATAATCCTTAGATTTCCAAATTGAGAAGTTATATTTCTAAAAGTGTTCTTAATATTTAAGCTATATTATTCCCCTATAGAGAGCATGGTGACTCTATAGAATAAGCACTGGACTGCAAGCTACAAGATTGGCAGTTAGAGCTCACCAGCTGCTCCACAGGAGAAAGATGAGACTTTCTGCTCCTACAAAGATTCACAACCTCAGAAATCCTATAAAGAGTTGCTATGAGTCAGAATCAACTTAATAACATTCTGTTATTAAAAGGAACCCTAGTAGCATAGTGGGTTAAGTGTTGGACTCTAAAAGGTCAGTGATTCAAACCCACCAGCGTTTCTGTGGGAGAAAAATGAGGCTACCTATTTCCATAAAGATGTACAATCTCGGAAACCCAGTTCTACTTTGTCCTATAGCTATGGGTTGGAATCAACTTGGTAACAGTGAGTTTTTGGTTTTATTCCTTTATTAAAATGGAACTGGTTTAAAATGTCATGATTTACTTTAGATAAAGTTTTATGCAAAATTCTGAATTTAAAAAGATGAAACAGAACTACCATTAGTGTATTAAAATTTGATCAAATGCTGTAAAATAAGTACTGGACAACTAACCACAAGGTCAGTGGTTTAAACCTACCAGCTGCTCCTTGGAAACTTTATTCAGGGTCGCTGTGAGTCGGAACTGACTTGATGGCACAGAAGAACAGTAACAACACCGGTAACAGTACCTCAGAGATGAATCACAGAGGGTAACGTTCCTTAATTCAGTGAAATCACCAAGTCCTTTAAACTGATATAAATGTAAAATTAGTTTCAGTCTCTAAAATATTATGTAAATTTTTCATTAATTTGCTTTTGATATAGAGGGCAAGAGGGTATAGTATATAAGAAGTGAAAACCGAGACACATCAGTATTGCTGGAACCTTAGTGTTGAACTGATAACCACAGTACTTGATTCTTTTACTTATATTAAAGTATAAATAAAGGAATTTATTTCATAAAAAGTAAATTTGCCATAACCTGATGGGGTATCTTTGTGATATCAAACCTATTTTAGGTCATTACTTTCAGAAGACATATTTCAAAAGTCAGGTGCCATCCTATTTGCATAAATTAGTCAATTTATATGGATGGCCAGATGTCAGAGAGACATCGCGCTTAGTAACAAAACCAAACTCTTTGTTCTCAAGTCATTTCCAACTCATATTAACCCTACTGGACAGAGCAGAACTTGGAAGGCTGTTACCTTTATGGAAGCAGACTGCCACTTTTTTCTTCTGCAGAGGGGCTGGTGGGTTCAAACTGCCAACGTTCTGGTCAGCACCTTAGCACTTAACCATTGCACCACCAGGACACCTTTGTCCTGCTCTGTACGGAATGGGAATTATTTCTGAGCTTTTTTATATATATAGACAAGATTCCAATAGAAAGCTTTTCCTTATTCTGAAGCTCTGCTTCCATATGGTTTTGAGAAATAAATAATATGGAACAGGATATGCGGTTCTTTCCCCTTGCAGATTTTTGATGCTTTTTTGTTACTTTTCTCTTTCACTAACTGACAGCGTTGCATCTCAAGAATGTATGATACATAGGACAACTTGCCAAATGGAATTGGCCCCTCTGAAGAAGGACGACAGAATCTCTGCCTATTTCTGTTATCAAAAGCCACAGTCCTTTCCTGTGACCTTAAGCCTTTAGAGTAGGATGGTTTGCACCTTATTACTATTATTTTTATGTCATTTGTTTTTAGCATGGAAGCAGAAAGGCATTGTTATATCCAATCACATGGGTAATTTGAGCTAGCCACAGTATATAAAACTCCAGAGGACAAGACAGGATGAGGAGATCACAGAAGAAAGAAAAATGTACATTTCTGGGGGGGAAGGAAGGGAGCATATATTTTACTTCTGTTGAATTACTAAATCGTTCCTTCTATTGGCTGCTGTGTTTGCTTCATACTAATATGTCCTCTCTGTCTTTTGGCATGGTTTCCACTCAAGGCTATTGTAAGTATGGCTTCCTGTTCATTTCTATATATTGAGCACCCTTTTGTTCAATGTTTTGATTTATACATTCTCTGCCATCATAGGTGATAGTATTGAGATTTTAAATTAAGGTGACTTTTTGCAAAAGGAATATTACAACATTACTTGCCATTTAGACTTGTGAACTTTACTGTTAGGATACTTAAAGGATATCAAAAATTTTTAAATGATAATCAAGCCAAAGAGAAGCCTGTTCTTAGTCTTTTACCACATCTCACTTTTGCTCTACCCCATTATTACAGTTAGTTCATTTTTAGAAAAAATTTTGACACTCATTTCCTACCATAGTATCTGGCCTTCTCATGCCACAAATTTGGATAGTAGTGGTCTTCAATTGGAGAGGCACTGCAGTGTACAAAGCATGTAAGTGAAGATTTTGCATGGACCTTGGGGTCCAATAGAGTTGAATTTTACTTGTTGTATCTGCCACTTGAAAACTACCAAATGTCTTCCTAGCCTAACCTTCCTTTACTGTAACAGTGGTCACATTGAGTAATACTACTAGAGAAAGTATATACGAAATGCTTTAGTGCAGTGCCTGTCATATTGACCACTCATTAGTTATTTTCTAATATAGTAATGACCTAATTACAAAACCAAAAATAAACCCACTGCCATTAAGTCATTTCTGACTCATAATGACCCTGTAGGACAGAGTAGAAGTACTCCATAGGGTTTCCAGATCTTAACTGAAGCAGCCTGCCTTACCTTTCTCCAGCAGAGCCACCAGTAAGTTCAAACCACCAGTCTTGTGGTTAACAGTCCAGCACATAACCCACTGCACCACCAGGGCTTCTAGACTAACCACAATATAAATACAAAATCAAAGATACAGTTTTTGGGGTTTTACCCTTCATAATAAAGAAGGAACAAGCAAAAATTAAAAATTTGTATTTTTATTAAAATTTCTATTTGTGGGAAGCCGTGATAGATAGAAGATACAGTTATGGCTATCCACATTCAATGTGTAGAAGGAAAACAGAAGATAGAAGTCATTGCAGTTGTTAACATCTGACCCAAGAAGTAAATTTGAAATAAGCCAGACAGACCTCTGTTAGAATGGATTTAATAAATAGTTATGGTAGTCATTATTGAATAAGAACTAAAAATCAAAAAAACTTAGTGTGAGGGTTTTCCTCCCTCATCACTACTTTCGGTTGATTGAAAAGTTTGTTTTATAAGCCCATGTTAATTGGGTTTTGATTGAATTAGTTATATAACTATTTGTCTCAAAATTAAATGTTTTTATGCATAGAATTTATTAGTAGTGAATTATACACTGTTATTTGCTGTGGAGTTGATTCTGACTCATAGCAACTTCATGTGACAATAGAACTGCTCCACAGGGTTTCCTAGGTGGTAATCTTTATGGGAGCAAATCTCCAGATCTCGCCCACAAAGCATCAGGTGGGTTTAAACTGCCAATCTTTCAGTTAGCAGCCAAGCATTTAACACAGTGCACCACCAGAGCTGCAGGTGTTTAAGTATGAAACCTAATGAAACCTATACAGAAAGCCTTTTATTCTTTATTTTTCAGGTAATTCTGTTTTGCTTTTTGAAAATAATTTCTCCTTTGGCAGAAATAATAGTCATCTAAAATTGTATTCCCCAGCATACTGCAATTTGAGTCATTCATCACAAAAATTATTTGCAACGTAGCTCTGGTAGCATAATGGTAACAAATTGGGCTGCTAATCTCAAGTTCAGCAGTTAGAAACTATCAGTGGTTCCGTGGGAGACAGATAGGCGTTCTGCTCCCATAAAGATGTACAGCTTCGGAAACTCTGTGCAGGGTCGCTATGGGTCGGAATGGACTTGACAGCACTTAACAACATGCATGTTCATAAATGACTGGTTAAGTTGGTACATATTTATGGACTTTATCCTAGATAAAGGAAGTCAGCATAATAGATGAAAAAGGTCTTAGGGAAAAATTCTATTATTAGAGTCTTACCTGCCTGTTATGTCCAAGAACATTAGATCTGTACCCAAATAGCTTTTTAAACTCATTTCCCTAACTACAAATAGACAATTCAGATGTCCAGAGTATTTTGTACTGATTGTTATCACTGATGGGCTACTCTCTCCATTATCAAAAATAATTAAATTATGTTGTGTGTTTGGAGTTCTTTGACAAGAGAAATTGCTGAGAGTATGGAGTTAAGTATTACTATACTCTTTACTTTTAAAATAATTAATTTGTTAGTTATAATGTGACTAAAGTTTTCCATTTTCCATTTTCAGTCAATTCTCCTAAAAAAGAAGCTTGAAGAACATCTGTAAGTATAAAAGATATTGTGGCTTGTACTTAAATTATCTGATAGGACATAAATCCTTTATGTTAAGTAGTATTGCAGCAATGGCATGGGTGACACTTGAATTTATAAAAATTAATCAGGCGTATTTCAGGAAAATCTATTTGAGGTTTCTAAAAATAATCAAATTGCACTTAATTGTTTTCTAAAGGATTTATCCAAGGTCCTCAGATCCAAACAATGACCACTTTAGGAGTCTTTTCTCAAATGGTACTCAACAGTTTTATATCTCCTGGATACCATTTATAATAGTAATGAGAAGTTTAGATCATTCTAGATGAGAGGTCAGACAACTTTTTCTGTAAAAAGCCAAATTATATATAATTATTTTGACTGTACAAGCTGTGAGCTCAGTCACAATCACTGAAAGGCTTGAAAGCAGCCATAAATATTATGTAACTAATAGGTATAACTGTGTTTCAATAAAATTTTACTCACTAAAATAAGCAGTAGGCTGGATTTGGCTTACAAGCTGTTTGCCGAGCCTGCTCTGGAATTTGGCCAGGCGGAACATTCATTTTTAGATAAAAATTTAAAAGTATTATAAAGCTTGTTAGTAGTAGATTCAAACATTTCTTTGAATTAACAGAAATTTCTGAACAGGGCTTCTTAATTTAAATGATTAAATAAATTTTAAAAGACTACATTTGTTTTCTCATCAAGAAGAGATCTTCATCTTTGCGTAAGGTTGTCATTGTTAAAAATCTTTCATAATTTTTTCTCCTACACATTGAATATGGATAGCCATAAATTGCTAGCCTGTTGGAGTACTTACATGTTACACTCTGCTAAACCAGTCATCTTACCATGATTGAAATCAAAGTCTGTAGTTTAGCAGTTTGCCTCATGCTATCTTTTTTTTTTTTTTTAATGTGAGTGAAGTGAATACTCCTAGCAACTGAGGTTTGTTGGCACTACCTAACAATGGCCAGATTTGTAATGTACTAGAAAAATAGAAAATGTTACCTCCCAATCTTTGTGGGGTTATCTAAAATGAAAATTTGGTATTTAATTCTGTTCGTTTTTTCATTTGCCATTCCTTTATACCATAAAAAAAGTAGAATACATGTTGTTTCATAAAAGCACTCTATTGTTCTGTATTCAGTGACACCTGCTCCTCACTTACTATCTTGTTATCTGACATGTTACCATTATCACAATAGTAAAAATTCTACTTTCTGACTGTTTCGCACATTAACAAAGCACATCTGGCAGTAACATGCCAAGGTACAAGGCATGAGTAGCACTGGATTTGATGGTTAAGGTTAGGATTCTCAATGGTTTGGCACTTGGGTAATAATGGAATTTGGCAGTTATGTACTTCTGTGAAATCATTCTGCATTTTCACATAATGCCAATGTTTTAATACAACCCAGTCTTTGGAAGCTAACCATGTCAGTAAGTGAGGAGTGGGTATATTTATTTATATGATTAAAATGATCATAAATCATTTATTAGTGAATAGGGGTTTGTATTCATCTCCTAGAGCTGCTGTAACAAATCACCAGAAATTCAGTGGCTTAAAACAACTGTAATTTATTTTCTCACAGTTCTGGAGGCTGGAATTCCAAAACCAAGGTGTAAGCAAGGTTCAGTTCTTTTGTAGGCTCTGAGGGAGAATCTGTTGTATCAGTCGCTAACTCCTGCTGGTGCTGTATCACTCCAATCTGTCTCTGTCTTAGCATGGCATTCTCTCATAGTGCCTTTATGTCTTCACATGGCTCCTGGACAAAGACAACAGGCCTTGAATTTAGGGCCCACCTTAATTGACTCTGATTTTGTCCTAATTATAGTTTTAAAGACCCTATTTCCAAACAAGATCATATGCACAGGTACAGTGGGTTAGGATTTCAATGTATCTTTTTAGGATTTCAGTATATGTTTTTAAAGGGCACGGTTCAACCCACAATAGGTCTCATAGACATTACAAAATATTTTAATTATGTGCTAATTTAAAACTACTTTTATTCTTATCAAAGTGATAAAAATTTAAGTATTTATTGTTGTTGTTAAGTGCTGTCGAGTTGATCCCAACCCATAGCAACCCTGTATAGGGTTTCTAAGGAGTAGCTAGCTGGTGAGCTTCAACCAGCCACCTTACAGTTAAAAATGACTTTGCAGTCTGACGCATTAGCCCACAGCGCCACAAAAGATGTGGAGCAACAGTAACTCTCATCCATTACTGTTAGCAGTTGTTGTTTAGTGCCGCATAGTTCTGATTCATAGCAACTCTATATAGGGTTTCCAAGAAGCAACTGGTGGGTTTGAACCACAGATCTTGCAGTTCAAACTGATCTTACGATCCAGTGCTTATCCTACAGTGCCACACCAGGAATCCAGCTGTTAAGGGTATACACCATTTTATATTTACACATATTCTGTGACTCAGCGTCTCCACTCCCCTGTATGTGGTTATATGTGTGTATGTGTATATGCACTAGATTCCTAGAGATACTGTTACCCATGTGTCCCAGGAGACATGTAGTACAAAACAGAGTTGTTTGTAATCATGAAAAATGGAAGCAATACAAATGTCCATCAATAGTAAAATGTTATTGTTGTTAAGTGCCATAGAGTCAGTTCCAACTCCTATCAACCCTGTGTAGGGTTTCAAAGGAGCAGCTGGTAGGTTTGAAATGCCACCCTTGGCAGTTAACAGTCCAGTGCTGATCCTTTAGCACCACACCAGGACTCTAGTAAAATGATAAAATGGGGTATATTCAAACATTAGAACACCATATAGCAGTAAAAGTATGTAAACTAGAATTAACGCATCAACATAGATTAGTCTCAAAAGCATAATGTTAAGTTAGAGACACAGGTCACACAACAGTACATTCAATATAAGTCCTAATACAGAAAGTTAAAAATTGGGCAAAATTAAGCAATGGGTAAGCATAAAGACATGTTGTTGTTACTTGCCATAAGTAGATTCCAACTCACGACAGTGCCATGTGTGCAAGTAGATCTGCTCCATGGGGTTTTCAGTGCTATGACCTTTCACAAGCAGTTTGTCAAGTCTGTCTTTCCAGACACCTTTGACTGTGTTCGAACCACCAACCTTCCAGTGAGTAGTGGAGTGTTTAACATTTTGCACTACCCTGGAACTCCCACAAAGGCATAAAACTGTTAAGAAAATCATGAGAATAATTTAAACACAATTCAGGACTTCATATATCTAGTGCTGCTCTATATAACAGAAATACAAGTAGGTTAGTTCATTGAATAGAAATTTATCTTCTCACAGTTTAGAAGACTAGAAATTCGAATTCAGAGCACTGGCTCGAGGGGAAGGCTGTCTCTGTCCCCTCTTGCAGAAGATCATTTTTTCTTTTCTACTTCTGTTACTAGGTTCCATGATCATCTTGTGACTTCTGTCTTCTGTCTTCTCCATCTCTGTTCTTTTGCTACTTGCTTAATCTGCTATTTTGTATCTTTTTTTTTTTTTTTTTTTTCCCTATTGGAGGGGTTTAGGAGTAAGGAGTTGGGGTTAGGACTATGGCTAGCTCTAGGACTTCCTTTAATGTTAAGGTTAAGATTTGAACTAGGATTAGTGTTAGGGGTGTGGGTTGGACTACAGTTAGAAGTAAGTCTTAGTCTAGTTTTACAGTTATAGTTAAGTTTGCTTTATTTGATTTTTTTCTTGAAATCTAGTTGATTTCCTCTTTGTTTGCAAGTTCTGTAACTATATTATTCCCTCTCTTTGCTTTGTGGTTTTTCTGTTGTTGCTGCAAACTGGAATCTTAGGTTCCCTAGTTTCAGTCTTGTCGCTGTATTTTACTTTGACTACTTCTATATTTGGGTTGAGTTCTGAGTGATATTGTTGTGTATGTTAATCTCAGGTTATTATCTGATTCTCTTTTCAACAAACTGTTTAATACTTTTTGTAAGGTTTGTCTGATTTTTTTTTTTTTTTTT